AATTCGTATCATCAACAAATAAATCTATAGTGTTATGTTAATCCATAAATGCAAATTATTTATTATCTTTAATTGAAAAAAAAAAACAAAAACATTGGAAAAAAAAAGAAATGAAGATCTTTAAAAAAGAGTCATATCACAGTTTTTTGTTTTTCATATTTGAAATTATTGCTTTTGTTTTTCTTGTGATTTTTTTATATAAGAAGAAAAATTTTCTTTTTTTGAAAATTTACGAATTTTTTGATAATTTATTCGATAAATTTTATCAAGAAATCGTCGAAGTCCATGATGAAATTTATCGGGATATTCATAATAACAATCATGTGAACCATTTTTAATTAATAAAACTTCACTTGTAGGAATTTTTTTAAGAATTTCAAATGCTGATAAAAATTTTGTATCTTGTTTACCATAAACAATTAATGTTGGAATCTTAATTAAAATAAATAAAATAAATTCTTATTTAAAATCTTTTTAACTTACTTCAATTTCTTCATATTTCGATATATTATATTGTTCTGTTCCAATTGGAGAAATATAAACAAAACCTCGTATTAATTCTTGTTGTTTATCTAAATTAAACATATAAGGTAATGTTAATCGACCACTTATAGATGGACTAATAATAACTAAATTTGATAATTGTAATGTTTTAATAAGTTTTTTAAACCATTGTACTATTGCTTTATTTTCATTGAAAAGTAATGTTTTATTTTCACTAAGTGGAATATTAATAGCAAATGCTCGATAACCCCAACTACTTAAATATTGAAGTGTACCTAAAATAAATTATATTTATTTAAATTTAATTTAAATATTAGTTTTTGTTTTTGTTTTTACCAATTTTCTTCCATATTTCAGACGAATATTTTTTACTATGAAGTAGAAGTACATGTCGATCTCCTGTACCAGATTCATGAACAAGAATATTTTTATGCTAAATATAAAACAATAAATGTTTTTTTTTTTTTTTTTTGTTAATGTTTAATAAAAATGAATCAATACTGTTTCATTATTCAATGGTATTTTATATGTTCGAATAGGTATTTTAAAAATATCTATTTTTTTCATAGGTAATCTTGTCGATTTAGAACCAGTTTTACTAGCAATTGTTTCGTCAGTATCATGACTTGACATTCCTAATCGATTATGTTTTTCATTTAGATTAAGATCATTTTGACGTCGACCATATGAAATAGCATTTAGAACAATAACAC